TCACGCTGGATATGATATGATGTTGTAGTAGTATCAGTTTCGCATTAATTGAGCAAATGTCTCTATCTCACAAGGTAGGAATAAGCAAGGTTTTGCGTACATTTAATTACCCTCTTCAATTTTTTTATTTTTTTTAGTTTCCTCTTCAAATTCTACTCGTGGTGTTACACCGAATATATTATTGTTGTATAGTATCAATTATGCGTTAACAATCATCAAAATGATGCAAACGATAGTAATGTCGAGAGAAATGTATATATTTACACTTTATTTTCCTTTTTAATGTTTTCTGTAATCTTAATTAATTAATGAGTTAATATATTAGCAGAAATTAACGAATAAGTAGTACTATGAATTAAGATATTTTGTAGGCCAATTAATTAAAATCTTAGAACTTTCAAAGTTTATGACCTCATTATGTTTGTCCTAATTAAATAGTGTCATAATTTGCCCTATGAAAATTAGGGCTGTCAATGAGGTTAGGTTAAAAAAAGGCGCCATAGCCTATAGCCTTTTCGATGATAAAGAAAATTAAAATAATCACTTATATTCACTTAGGTATTTATATTAAATTAATCAATCTATTAATGACACGTGTCAACATGATTAATCATAGTATACCTTTGGCTTATGTATTATTTCACCATTATTTTTACCTGCTTTTTACTCCCTCCGTCATATTTTATATGTTATCCCTTTCTATAAATAGCTGGACCACAATACTTGTCATTTTATAAAATTTATGCATAAATTACCATATTTTGCCTATAGTTAATTAATCTTGTCATTTATTAATAAAGTTGACTTAAGAAAATATTAAATAAGGGTAGAAGGGTAAAGTTACATCATTTCTTAATGCAAGTGCAAAGTAAAAAAGTGACATATAAAATGGGACGGAGGGAGTAGCTAATTTCAACTCTAATAATTTTTTAGAGAGTCAATAACCAACTCATTTATCAACTCTTTCCAGTTTAACCTACTTAAATTCAGCCTAATCCATTCATTTGACACCTCTAATTAAGGCCATAAAGGGCAATCTTAGTGATTTATTTGTTAAGGTCCATTTTGGGTCAAAGCACCCATACAAATAATGGGTGTTTTTTTAAATTCTCTATCTGCATTAGGTGTTTACGTCAAATCATATTACTTTAGCATGGTTAACACAAAAATTAAAATTAGAATGTCTACTAAGTAACAACGATTTAACAATAAAGTATATTAATACATGTGTTGTACATTCATTAAGTTGATATAAATATCTAGTGCAAATAATTTTTTTACTAATAAGAAGTTTGATGAATAGTTTCCCATAATTGCAAGAAGCTCTAGTTTGGATTTATTTCCATTCAAACAAGTACAACAAAATAGTGTTTGGGCCCATTCAAAATAGTTATTGGGCCAGTAAGATCCATGGGCCTACTTCACCACACCTTACCAAGAATCTTGTAAATGTGGCTTCCCCTTAAGGAGCTTGATACCTGGGCTTACATGATCTCTCTGGGCCTGATGATAGGCCCAATGAAAATTCGTTTAAAAATAGCCCTTTAATAAAAAATTACGCGAATTGGCAAACATTACTAGTGTATTATTTAACATAGCTATAATTTCATATAATTATGAATCACGACTACAGTTTAATGAAATTTGCTATGAAGAATCCCAGGTATTTGTATAAGTCCTATTTGTATATATTTATGTATTTCTATACGCAATAGTAATTTTGTTATGATACTGTACATATCTATACGTATTTGTGTATATACAAATTTTCAGTTCTGACTTTTGGTTCTATATATTTTTTTATTTTTGATTGTATATTTTTTTCCGGTATATTATCACCCACAATACTTTATATGAATCAATTGTATAATTCCAACACTTATATACTATTACTTATTTATTTATGTTAATAGTTTCTATACGATACAAATAATTGTATATAATATGTTACTTGTATAAATCTAATTTGTATAATTTATTTTAAAAACAACGAAATATACAAACGAGAATTACCATAGCAAATTGAACTATAACTATGAAGCGTAATTAGACAAATTATGGTTAAAGAATGTTATTAAGTTTCATCTCTTAGCTATTTATGAATTTTTTTTATATACAAAAACATAATGACTGTTGTCACTGATAATGAACTTAAACAACTAAAAATCTAAGATATTGCTGTGAATTTTCATTTTCAAAAGTGTCATGAATTTTTTATTTAAAAAACACGTGTACTGAATTTCAAAATTTGGCTATTTTTCATCAATAACTTTTGAATTTGGGTCTAGGAAAATGACTTATCTTTGAATTCAATAGCGTGTTTAATGAGGAGAATGAGTAGATAAAATTATTTGGAGCAAAAAATAGATGATTTTATTTTGTATAAAATATAAATATCTAGGATTAATTTAAAATTTTAAAAGAACTCAACATCTTTATTTTAGACCCCCACCCCCACACAGTTTTTTTTAATCCCCTTTTAGATTTTGAATTTTTGTGCTGAAAAATAATCTATTAGCACTCATGATTTGAATTTCTCTCTTTATTTTCTAAATATATTTAGATTAATTTTGAAATCTCCATTCCTCCTATCTTTTATGAAATGTTTGATTACTAATTTGAAATATTCGTAATAGTTTGAATATAAAAACTATGTGAAATTTCATATACTTTTGAACTATCTAAAATGAAGTATATATATTCTTGAACTATCTGAATGAGAGAGGAAGATATTAATTTAAAGGAGCGGATGTTTTAGCCTCGTCGAGCTGTCTAAGTAGACAACATGTAGCTAGGCAATCTTTCATATGCCAAGTAATATCTAATTGCAATCCGTTTTATGGTCCTTAAATTAAACAAGAGGGTTATATTTTATATTTAAAAAAAAAAAAAAAAGAGAATATATGTGCTTAATTTCAGATAATTCAAGAGTAATTTTGATTCTTTTTCGATATCTATTTCAAAATTATATGAATTCATTACACTTAACTAGGGGCGGAGCTATAGCCACCATAGATTGACCAGCTCGTCAGAAAATTACGTTGTATATATATGTCAAATTCTCCATTTAAAGGATATATATTTAAAGTTGGACACCCTTGATGACGCAGTGGTAATGAGTGTCCATTTGAATTAAAATAGTTCTGGGGTTAGAACCCTAAATAGCAAGTGGTAATGAGTGTCCATTTGGGGTTCGAACCCAGAAATCCTTCATTCAAATGGACACCCATTACCACTGCACCAAAGACCCAACTCTAAATATATATATATATATATATCTTTTAAATACAGAATTTGACGTAATTTTTCGATAAAGGGCGTCTAATTGGACACCTTGGGTGGCTATAGCTCTGCCTTTGCAAATAGCACAATTTTATTTTATTTTAGTTTTATTTTGATAGTCACATACCATTATTTTTGAAAACCTTTGATAAATTTTTTGGCTCTACCACTGCACTTAACCAATGGCAAAGTGACAAATGCAACAGCTGAATGATGTGCCAACCAAACTCCAGGCTATGTAGAACCCACGTAGCCAAGCCAAGACGTTTTCAACCTCTTAATTTTGGCAACAAAACTGTTTGACTCCACAATCTTGCTAATATTCTTTTCGTTTCGATTTATTTTAATTAATTAATTCAATGACAAAATTAGGCATTTTTGTCCGGCCTTGAATAATGAGTGGGGTTTTATGTTCGTCAGATAATTATATTTACATGGAATTACATTTGAACATTAGTTAGACAAGTTGTCATCTATACCGATTCAGACCAAATTCTTTTTGTCGGACGTGAAGAAATTTCTAAGAATTATCTTAGAGTTAGACCACTCTACAAAATCTCTTTTAACGGCTGCTCTATGCTTGTCGGTATCTTGACTCTCTCTTTTTAAATACTTCCCATCAAATAAGATTAGTTGGTTTAGTGCATGTATTAACAAATCTAATCACGTTTAAATTTTTAAAATCTGCTTATTTTAATTTCTATATTTTTCTTGTACCCTTCTATCATCTTTCTCTTAATGTTTTCTGGTCATTTTACTTAGCTACTGTAATTTGCTAGTCTTTTTTGCAATTAATTACTGAAATAATTAATTATCTCCTGCTTTTTTTTTTTTTTTTCATTTATGAGAACCTAAACTAAATATCATTAAAGAAAGCGACTACACACTAATTAACGTCCATGAAGAAAAAAAACCCTACTACTACGTTCCCGCTTTTTTTTTTTTTTTTTTCATTTATGAGAACCTAAACTAAATATCATTAAAGAAAGCGACTACACACTAATTAACGTCCATGAAGAAAAAAAACCCTACTACTACGTGTTTATACCTAAATCAGCCAACACAAAACCCCTTGATAAATCTTATATCCAACTTTATTTATAACGATGGTGTCTGGATCAATTTACGCACATCTTAGCTTATTTTTGAAAACACTTGTTACCTCTCATCAACATAAAAAATAGAGTAACTTTGTCTCGCTAAGCTTAAAAATCATCTTATATTTTTATATCTATGAAAGATCTTATAATTCTCAACCATTTTATTAACCACCAACCGCGATTAGGTGCAAAAATTGTACCAAACAGACAGAGAAAAGTATACATCACAACATGGAAGGTGGTATAAGCAAACTTCACCAACACCTCACATTACAATTTCTTCTAATTTCAATACCAATACGCAATTCCTACTTTTGTCACTTTCTGGCCTTTTCCACATCTCTCTGATGACTTTTATTTTCTCTCACACAGTCGCACACAAAGTATTAGTACACGTACCATAATGTTGTGCATTGGACGAAGTTGTTCCTGGTCTCAAATTTCGAGCTTAAAGTATGAAAAAAATCCTTAACAGGAAGAGTCTTCCTCCGAATGAGGTACTATGCAGATCCGGATTAATCAGACTCCAATACGAGTACCGAGATGAGGAAAAAAAAAAAATAAATAAATAAATTAGTACACGTAATGAATTGCCAATCTTCAAAGTCACTAAAGCTTAAAGCAAAAGAAACTAAATAAAATTCTTCCCAACTCTCTCTGCCGACTTTTATCAAACACCTAACGTGCAATACTTTTATATACTTAACATTCAACAAGATTGTTTTTTTAGTGGAATTTTCCAGTAATATTGGAACTCCAAGATTCAAGGAGTTTTGGGTACCCAATTTCTTGTTGAAAAAATGGGAACTTTGACTGCTTCTCTAGTGGTTCCATCTAAGCTCAACAATGAAAAACAGAGCTCTATTTTTGTATACAAAACTAGAAGAAAATCCAAGAAGAATCAATCCATAGTACCTGTAATTAATTTTCACTATCTTTTTTTTAGCTTCTTCTATTGGTTTGATAGTGTTTACTTAAATAGTTTTTATTTGTTTGTTGAATGAAAATAGGTGGCAAGGTTATTTGGGCCAGCTATATTTGAAGCTTCAAAGTTGAAGGTGCTTTTTTTGGGAGTTGATGAGGAAAAGCATCCAGGAAAGTTGCCAAGAACATATACACTGACTCATAGTGATATTACTTCTAAACTTACTTTGGCTATCTCTCAAACCATCAATAACTCTCAGGTAATCAAATATTTCTCTTTATAACTTTGATGACATATATTATTCTATGTCTTCATGATGCTGAGAAATAGTCGAGGGTATATCAAAAACAATCTCTCTATCCTCGTAAGGTAGGGTTAAGGCTGTGTAAACACCACTTTCTTCCTACTCTAGCCCTTTAATTTAAATTTTGGATTTATTTCTCAGATGGTCATTCAAATAATAGTTATTATCTCATAAAATTATTTTTCTTGTCGATTCCAATTTCTTTGCAAAGAAAGTTAATAAGATAATAACTGAGAAATCAACTCTTTAAATTTGGTGGCAATAAGACTATGGAGTTCCTCGATTAGTTGATCATTCTTCTTGATTCCAATTTCCTTTGGTAAAAAAGTGACTTTATGAGATAAAAGTTATTTAATTGAATGACTGTTTGAAAAATCAGCTCTTTAAATTTGGTGGCAATAAGAATATGGAGGTCCTTGATTAGTTGATCGTTCTTCTAGATTCCAATTTCCTTCAGCAAAGAAAATGATTTGATGAGATAATAATTATTAGTTGAATAACCATTTGAGAAATCAACTCTTTAAATTTGGTGGCAATAAGAATATGGGATCCTTGATTAGTTGATCATCATCCATTGCTGATTCGGAGTAGAGGCAAATTCAAGATTTGATCTTTATGAGTTTTGAATTTTAGGACAGCGAACTCAAGTACTAGTAACTTGGAATTTGAATTTGATTCTTGTACATATTTAATGAATCTCTTAACATAGGGTCTGGGCCAAAACTACTAAGATAATGGATCTGTGCCCTCTACTGTTCTCGACTTAAATACTATTATCTACAGCAATATCAAGCCCATGACACGTGTCGAAATCCCACATATCACATGCTATGCTATTACCACTAGAATTATTAGCCGCATATTCATTTAGAGAAGTTCGAAAATATGTTTTTTTAAATCTTGAATCTGCCTCTACATCGTTTCTCTACCTAATAGAACTTCTGTTGAGAAAAGTGGAAATTGTGTGTTTGATTTGCAGTTGCAAGGTTGGTATAATAGACTTCAAAGAGATGAAGTTGTTGCAGAATGGAAGAAAGTTAAAGGGAAGATGTCACTTCATGTCCATTGCCACATTAGTGGAGGCCATTTTATGTTAGACTTATTTGCTAGACTCAGAAACTATATCTTCTGCAAAGAACTCCCTGTGGTGAGTTCATAATAAACTGTTACTATATCTTCCAAAACTGTTATTGGTCCTGTGTCAGATACTTCAAAAATGCATTACTTTTGGAGGACCAAACACGCACCATATTTTCATAAATTGGGTGTTTTTTTGTATCTTATTTCATTGCATGTGCATTAGGTTCTGAAGGCTTTTGTTCATGGAGATGAGAATTTACTAAAGAATTATCCAGAGTTACAAGAAGCTTTAGTTTGGGTATATTTTCATTCAAACATTCAAGAATTCAACAAAGTAGAATGTTGGGGTCCACTCAAAGATGCAACCTCCCCCTCATCTTCTTCTAGTGGGGTAGGTGGGGTGAAGAGTACAAGTTTTACAAGCAATAGCAACAACAAGTGGGAGTTACCAAAACCTTGTGAAGAGGCTTGTGCATGTTGCTTTCCCCCAATGAGTGTTATGCCTTGGCCTTCTTCAAATCTTGATGGGATAGGTGAGGAAAATGGGACCATCCAACAAGGCTTGCAAGAGCAGCAAAGTTGAAAAATGAGATAGTGATTATGTTTGGTTTATTATGTGATTTGATGTAATTAATTATTTAATTATAGGGTTTGTGGAAGCAGCATTATTTGTTTGCTTGAAATGTAAATAAGAATTCAGAAGTCATGATTAAAGATAAGAACATTAAGTTTAGGATGGTGATACATAACTAGACAATTATTGTAAGTTGGGTTGTGCCTATATCGTTAAGTTTTTTTCATGATTTTGTCTTTGTTGTCTCTGCCTAAAAATCAACACTTGCACATGATGGAAATGTGCATCTAACTGTGTTTGCCAATCCACAAGAGAAAGCCTTTATTTGGACCATTTTTCGAATTATGTGTGTCATCTTTGCACAGAAATCATGTTATTCTTTAATCATGGCTGTTCTTGATCCAACTGTGAATTCGGGCCCTCGAGAATCCGTGTACTGCCATAGGAGAGCATTCCTTGAATGGATAAACTCCAGTATCATTCTATTTTTACCTAATATCTCTGAAAAAGTAATTAGACAGGACACCAAGAATATTTCCATTACTCTTTTCCTTTTTTTACTTTGTAGAAGGTAGAGTGGCTCCACATATCTTCCATTGTCATTGCTCATATGCTGAGTCCGGAGCCTAAAGGGCAAAAAAAATGGTCAAAAATTTCAAAAGGGCACGTCACTTTTTATTTTAGCCAAAAGGGCAAAATCGCTGCGTCAGCAGCGATTTTCCTCTGACAAAATGACAAAATCGCTGCCCTAGCAGCGATTTCGTCTAAAAAATTTTTTTATTTTTTTTTATTAAAAATCGCTGCCACAGCAGCGATTTTGTA